TTACTGACACTTGGGTTAATATAGAAAGAAAGAGAGGTGGGCTCAGACAGAAAGACAGGTGGATTTTCAGGTATGTGTCAGTACATGCCATAGTAAAGAGACTGATGCTAACCTCAGGCAGCATTTTGCTTCAGTTTTTTTTTAAAAAAGCATTTTGGTGGTGTGATGGGCCTGCTTTACATTGGAATCAAATTATTAAGACAGCTGTAGGCGACCCTCACAATTAATGAGTATATCAGGTTGGCTCTGAATCTGATGGGGTGACTGTATCACCTAAAGACTTTTTAAAAATTTGACTGGGCTTTTCAGAAGTTAGCACTTTTGTGTATTCTCTTCCTCTGGTTAGTTAGTATTTATAAAGGGCTTTAATTACTTACGTTCTGTTCCACCACTTCTGTTCAACATTTTGATTTGTCAAATTGATCTTTGTTTATTCTGCAGTTGGTATTTTTGATATGCTTTGTCACTGCACTTGTTTGTATTGGCATTATAATTAATTTTTAATAATTTAATATTTTATTATTGTGAACTGCCTGCATTTTTTTTTAGTTGACAGTACAGTGTATAAATGCATTTAAATAAGGCTGGAATTTGTGTGGTGTTACTCAAGGAGTCTGCAACCAAGAAATCAGATTGAGACTGAGAAGGGCAGCTAGAAGAGATTCTTTAAGTGTAAGGATGTGACCAAGATCAAGATAATTCATGGCATAGAATTCCCGGGATGCGGCGGCGGCAAGACGCACCACCGATCCCACGGCCAGGATAACGCGGCCCAACCGGATGAACCACCGAAGGTAGGTGGTTCATCTTTGACACCCGTCATCGGGGGAAGGGCCGGGTTGGAGGCGAGAGCGCGACGCCAGTCAGATGTTGGCGTGGGATCGTGCCCGTTTGATGCGCCTCCAATTCGGCCCGCTCCCGGCCCAAACTGCCTCGTATGAACGGGGCCAATGACTGAGGCTATCATACTTTAGTCACATTATGAGAAGAAAAGACTCCTTGGAAAAGGTAGTAATGCTAGGAAAAGTTGAAGGCAGCAAGAAAAGTGGAAGACCCAATATGAGGTTGATTGACTCAATAAAGGAAGCCATGACCCTCAGTTTGCAAGACCTGGGCAAAACTGTTAACGCTAGGATGTTCTGGAGGTCATGAATTCATAGGGTCACCATAAGTTGGAAGTGACGTGACAGGAGTTGACACACACGCTCTCACTGGTACTGAGTACCGGGAACCTTTTTAGAGGACTCTCCCAAATCCTAGAGGAATTGGTGTAAATATCACTGCAGCCTTATATATGAGTACCAGCATCTATCATCTGTCTTTCAGGTAACTAAAAAGCTGTTTCAAAATGAAAGATTAGGCTATTGTGTTGAAAGTACTGTTCTGAACCTTTGCTTTGTGGCTGAGCAGTACTAAAGATATGTCACCAGATGGCAGCATGCATCTGGTTTTACAGCAAAACACTGTTAAAAATGTATCTTGTGTTCCTGAAGGCTTCCTTTTTTCCAATTGGAAATGCTGCTCTTTCCATGTAACTTAAGTAAGTTATTCTTAATGTATACAATTCATGTTCAGAGTACTTGAAAATCCTAAAGCCAGTTCATAAGTGGACCTCATAGGTAAGGCCTGTTTCTAAACCTACTGGCTTTCTTTTTATGCAAAGATGCCCTGTAATGATGACCTGTAATGTTGGGTATCTTTTTAAAGCTTGGCCCACATCAGTCTTGACCATTCTGAGCCCTTGTGTATTGTATTGGGCAGTACCTGACAGAAAACAGTCCAGCCTGTGCAGTACCATTGCTGGGATCTGCAGATTTTGCTTGTGGTGGGTAGTCAGTTACTTCCCTATACCCAACAAGGAGTTCCACATAAGAAAATAAATGTTATGCACCCACTACCCACTATGGAAGATGTCGGGGAACATAGAGAGAGAAAGTCAACAGCCCAAGGAAAAGGGTTTCATATCATGCTTAATGCAATAGTGTTCTGAAACATGACTGAGCTTCCAGCATCTGATTTAGCTTTTTTGTCCATAGTTATATAGAGTACAAGTTGTTTTAAATTGTTTAATGTTAATATCAAGCCAGTAACATACTGAGCCTTTACTTACTTGCAGGGCTTTTTTTCTGAGGGAACACGCCAAAAAGGAGTTCCGGAACTACTTCAACAAAATTCTTTTTAAAATGTTTACGAGTTCGTGAGTTTTCAGTATATATATATATTGAAAACTTCATTTCCCTCTTGAGAGTTCTGGCACCTGTTTTTTTTTTTAAGAAAGGGGGGGGGAGCCATGCTTATTTGTATTTTAGTGGGCTCTATAAAGCAGGATAAAAAGTAGCCATAGTTTGATTGCTTGTATTAGTTTAGATAGCCACTGGATGTCACTGTTTCTCTATGCAATTACAGTTGGATAAAGCATTTTTGTCTACTGTCTAAGTCATGCTGTTTGATAATCTAACTTGAGATGGCAGTAGGTGATAGCAATCAGTATGGGGAACTATAGTATTTTTTAAAATGTGTGCGTCATTTATAAAAGAGAAGGAGGGGGAGGAAAAAAACTGGAATTGCATGCCTCATAGAGATACCGTTTAAAAAGAGGAACAAGCCCAGAATTTCCGCTATAGGTGGTTGTCTTGAAATTCAGGCCTCTTCAGGTTTAAAGCACAGGAGAGGCCATTTATTTATTTACATATTAATTTTGCAAAATGTGTACCCCGCTGTTCTGGCCTCATAAGGGCCACCAAGATGGCTAACAAATTAAAAATATAAATAATTAAAACAAACAAAAGTGCAATCAAAGCAATTAAAACCAGAGCTGAAGTTAAAACTGGAGCTAAAATACAAAAAACATACAAAAACATAAAAACAACAATTAAAACATTGAGCTAGAAGGAAGTGTCACTGAGGGAGCACCAAATGAAATATAAAAGTCTTCAACCAGTTATAGAAAATTCCTTGGAAGAGGAAAGTAGTAGTTGGGCAGGGTTCATAAGGGAGTAGGCAGTCCTTCTGGTATGTTGTTCCCAAACCCTATAGGGCTTTGAAGGTCAAGACTGGCACCTTGAATTGTGCCCCAAAACAGATTGGGAGACAGTGTAGATGGGCCAAGATTGTGGTAATATGGTCCCTATGACCAGAGGTCATGTTGGGGGGATCGCGGGGGATCGCAGTTCCCCCGGGTGAGGTACGGGGGGCAGGGCACATGATGAAGCCCCGCCCCCTGCTTCCGGCCGCCCCGCTTCCGGCCCTCATTCAGCCAGGAGGAGGCAGGAGAAGAGGGAGGGTAAATTGCTTCCTCCCTGCCTCTCCCCACCCCTGCCTGCCTGGGGCCAGGGAGGGCCTTTGCGGGGCTTCCTTGCACTCCTGCCAGCCTTGCAGGTCCACCGCCGGCCCCTCATGGGGCTTGGCAGTGGAGCTGCAAGGCCGGCAGCGGCGGCCGGTACCGTTGGGGGCGGGGTGTGTGGCCTTATGACACACTTCCGGTGATGTCAGGGGGTGTGGCCTTATGGCACACTTCCGGTGATGTCAGGGGGTGTGGCATATGCTAATGAGTTATGCTAATGAGTTCCCCTAGCTCTTTTTCTACGAAACGACCCCTGCCTATGACCCACTCTAGTCACCATCCTGATACGCTGCAAGAAAGCTGGTGACTTTTGTTTAACAGATTGAGACAAAGTATATGTTCTTCACTTCATTATACATTTAAAACACCACATTTGTAATCCATTAAATTTATTGGAAGATAAATATTATGGGTTGGATCCAAAAGTACCTATTCAAGGTAGCAGACCCATACATTCATCAGCATAGAGTTGGCAGCTTCTGTCCATTTCCCACTCTCAGTGTTCAGGTGCACTTCACTTCTCTGCTGTGAGGGTTCCATTACGTTAGCAGCAGGGTTCTGGGGTGTTTGGTGGGTTGCAATAGCAGGGAGTTGGCAGGAAAGCCACATCTGCAAGCTTTGTTCTGCTTGCTACAATTTGGCTTCAACTACAAATGTAACATTTCTGGAAATTTTGAAACCGATGAAAAAAGGATTTTTCTGTTGGAGAAGTAGTAGAATCGTGACTGAAATATATGTAATGTTTTCTTTCCTATCAAACCTAAATTTATTTTATTGCTTTAACTACATGAAATGCATAATTGATAACTTAGTTTGTTTATAAAATTGCAATATTTGATGTGCTTATGGAATTTAGAAGTATAAATTCCTTACAGTGGAATCCTAAGCAGGTCTATTCAGAATCCTACTTAAGTCTATTCAGTGGGGCTACTCCCAGGAAAGTGTTTTTAGAATAACACAGTTTTTATAGCCAAACTTACAAGTAGGAGTGTGCATTCGGATCTACCCGAGCTGAAAACATACTCAATATACCTTAATAGTATATCTGGATATCAAGTTAACTTTTGTAACACTGAAAACATAGAGCTCTTTAGTAATTATCATTAAACACAGTATAGCATATTGATTGTTGCCAACATTATTGACATTTAAACAATAAACATGTCCTTGAAAATATTTTGTATGTGTTTACTGCATACATAGTATTATTATTTAATGCTGTCTAATGTAAGAAATTGCATACTACACATTTTGAGTGTCAAACCTCGTCCTGTTTTGGTTTGAAAAAAACATTTCAAAGGCGCTTGAAACTCAAGAAACCAAATTTTACAGTACATTTCCATTGCAGTATCATATTTTTCAGATTCTATCCACAAGATTATATATATGCCAGGAAGCTATTGATAAGAATTTTATTGACTTTTTTTTAAAAAAATAGAAACATGCAAAAAATGAATTTTATATAAAGATATAATATACAAGGCATATCAGAAAAGCTATTTTCAGTTGCTTTGATGTTACATTTTAGAGACAGAACTAATAATCCGAGTTAATGGATCTAGATGGTTTTGTTCACCACAGTTGGTTCTGAGAGCATCCAAGTTTGGTCCCAGATACTATGCAAAAAACTGAAATATAACACAATTATCTTCTGCAGGTGCAAGTTCTGGCATTATGATGAAAACCTACTCACCTCCAGCGTTATCATTGTCTTCCATAATGAAGGATGGTCCACACTCATGAGGACAGTTCACAGTGTCATTAAAAGAACACCAAGGAAGTATCTGGCTGAAATTGTTCTGATTGATGATTTCAGTAATAAAGGTAAATGTATTTAATATGAATAATTGAGTTTGTAGCATATTTTTTCATCTAAATTGATTAGTGTGATATGTTGATGTTTTGAAAAATTGAATAAACTAACCGTTTGCTGTATTAGAGATTAGAAAATTTTCCTAGGAAATTATTATCTGAAAAAGTGCTCAGTGATTACTGAATGAAGAATAAAGTGCTGTAGGATATGACAAATGTCTGACTCAGTTCCTTTGAATTGAGATTTTCTTGCCATATTAGCCTGCTGTTCCTTTTCAAACAGTAGTGGTGACATTATAGCTTTGAGTTTTAATATCGCATCAGGACTGCTCCTGTTTAGAGAGAATACAGAGGTCCCCTTGCAACCCTATTTGAATAGTTAGGGGTGTGCAAAAAAAAATGGGGGGGGGGGGTTTGAATATAGGAGAC